ACAAACTTTCTACTGTGGCCTACCATGGTTACGTTATCCCCCAACTTATAATGCTGCGTCATGTACTTCAATATGGCAGTTTTTGATGACCCAGATCTCTCCTTCAAATGTTCAATCGCATCGGCCACCATAACAGCATAGGTTGGATGCTCGGGAGCTGGTTTACGCACGGCCTTTGCCCTAGGGGCAGCTCTTGTTGAAGAGACGGCAGCAGCAGACATTGTAGATGTTAGGCAACTGAGCAGTGTCCGAACCTACTGAAATTTCTCCTTTTATAGACAACGGTAAGGTGAGCCATAAACACAATATTGTATAAGAATGTAAACATGCTTGTATAGTATTTTATTCCCAACTTGCTTAAGTGAAAAAGAGGTGGTAAGACATCCTAAAGCCTATTTATCCGTGGCCGTATCGTCATGTAATAAACTCAATATTTAGCTTTTTAAATAATTCGTGATGTTTAAATGGTTTGTACGGGTTTGTCGGACAAGTTCGGCTTCTTTCTTTAAATTTGAAATTTCTCTATAAAAATGAGAATTTTGCAATCTGTGCCTCATTCAAAAAAGAAAGTTTTCTTCTAAAAGAGTTTGCACTTGACTTATCCAATAATTTGAACAGAAATTAAAGGTGATCGAACTTGAAAATCCAGAGGGCAGAAAAAAATCCAACTTGCAGTTAATTTTATCTAGGACGAAAAGCTCGAAAAATTATAACGCCACCTAGCAGGTTAATATGCAGATTACAAAAAACATAATACATTTCCCTCAGCAGAATCTTACAGCACGATCACGGTAGGTGTGATGCAGGGCAAATTCATAGATTTGCCTAAAGTGGTTTACTGGGGTTAATTGACATGCATTACAAAAATCATATTCATCCGATGGAAAACCATTTTGCACGGTGGACACGAAATATCCAGTTTTCCTCTTTTCCTCTACATTAGCGATTGTGACCCTACCACCGTATATCCACCCTAAAAATTACATTAAAGGCTTATTGTGCTATGCGGGTATTATTTTTGTAATCAGCATGTCAATTAACCTTAGTAGACCACCTTTCAGACATATCTGTGAATATGAGCCTGCATCATATACCTACCGAAGAGCATGGATATCATTTTTATATGCGTACCTAACTACTCTGATAGATGGCGTATTTTTTAGGCTTTCCGCCCCTAAATTAACTTAGCTTGGGCATTTTCTACGAAAAAAGCTTGCTCTATCGAACGATCTATAAATTTGCCAAAACTCTCAATTTTATATTTTTTAAGTTTGAGAAAAATGGCACAAAATTATCCGATAACCGAATACAATGTATACCACGTTAACAAATCTTTGCAGTGCAGCTACAACAAGCTCATAGTAAAATGCTATTATGTAGGAAAAGCTAACTTTATTTTACGTATCCTTCCTCTATTCGTAAAGTTTCCTTAAAATAATATATGTGGTAAGTTACATTCTATTCTCTATAATAACTTTATGCAGTAACTGCACTCGACATAGAGAATTATTTCTCTCATTTATAAGATAGAGATATAAATGAGCAACGGAAGAGACTCCAAACGCCAAATGCAAGTACTAAACCTATTTCTTTCAATGCCTAGACTATTAAGTGTTGCAAGCCTGTGATCGCCGCTGTACACGGAGTCTGTTTTGGAGGTGGTATCGACATAATCTCGGCTT